TGTCCTTGTGTTCAGAACAAAGGTGGAAAGATTTCTAAGATCTAATCACAAACTCTGTGAGCAAGTTGCTTAACCTCTTTGTCTCAGGTTACCTGAGACACAGAGTGTTTGGTACACAGTTGCTGTGTACAGATTTATTTACTGTTAGAGCTTGTTCATTGGGAGATCAAGGATAAGTTAGCTTAAAACAGTCCTCGTAGGTATTGGGAATCAGATCAGGGATAGATCAGATCATACTCCTGACATCATCATGCCTTTGGAATCTGCCTTACTGATCAGTTAGAGAAAACTCTGTTCTACATTTTCTCTCTTTTACTTGATGTGATGTTTATCAGAGTATTTGGTTTAAAATATAACACACCAAAGCTATTTGAGACTGCCTGGCCTTATAAAGATGTCCCTCGGCTGTCCCCAAAGGTACTACTTTTTCACTAGTAGTCTACAGTATATACCTGAAAGTTGCTGTGGCAGGCTTCTGAAGGCTTGTGTAACATTGGTCTTTGTTGCACAAACAGTTGATGCCACCTGGCTGTCCTGTTTGCCCAACGAGCTAACAGTATAGACAGAGGCAGCTTACAAAAGGCTTCAAAGGAAATATAGAGTTGATGTCCCCTTCTCTTCCTCTTCGAAACCATCAAGCTGGGATGGATCACTTTGTGAAATTCTGCTAGTAGCCAGGACATCCCTGCTCTCTTCCTTGTTAGTGACATTTTAACAACGGCAGTCAAAATCAGTCCTGAGCTGGAAAGAGAGATTATTTCCCCTACATGCTCTCTTCCTGGCAAACTTGCCAATCCTTCTGTGAAACCAGGAATACCGGTTACTGACAGTGCCTGAATAGCCTTCAGTACTGGGGTTTGAGCTTGAAGGGCTAGTACAAAGGACTGATGAGCAATCTTGTTCTCAGGAGTTCTGATGAACGTTACCTCCTCTTCTCCCACATGCCATTCCATTCAAGAATGTGGGGCTTCGACTCATTCATCTCCAGCCATGCAGTTTTGAGCGGTTTAGAGAGTAGTTGTGTCAAGTGTCTACTGGACAGATGTTCCAAAACATAAGCCCCATGGCATGCAGCATTCTGACATACTTCTACATCCCACCCTTGTTCCTAACAACTTCATAAGTGAGCAAACTTAGCTATGCTTTCCAGAGAGGTAAAATACAGACATAACATTGGAATCTGTTTCCATGGCAATGTTGGTCTGTTGGAACTCCACCAGCTCTTCATACAAATACAGATTTTTGTCCCCCCATTGCAATCAGCTGGAGCTGCTCTCTGGTATTTGTCTCGCTATATCTACCAAAGGCTTAGGGAAACAACTGCACTCTGTAGGCTGAACTAAGCATGAAGGAGGCTGAACATGATTGTGATGAGGCAAGCACAGCTTTTGCTCCCTCTGAGCAAATGGAGGAGGCAGGCATCTCTAGGGCTGTGACAGGGTAGGCTAGGAGTAGCACTCTCTCTAATAATATTGGGGTTTAATGTAGAGGCTTGGAGCCACACCTGCAATGTGGAAAGGTCAGGATATTCCTTGTCACTCCAGCAGCTGTGGTTATACCAGGAAGTGAGTAATTGTTACACTGCAGGGATGTGTCTACGGCCAGGTGAAGAAGGATGTATACATGTGCATCCTTCTTCACCTGGCCTTTGACATATCCCTGCAGTTAACTATTCAAGCCCTGGAGTGCTGGGTCTAGCCATATGCCATTCATATTCTGGATAGAGCATTTAATCTGCCTCTCTAGTTGGACTTGAGAATTCACAGCCTGACTAAAAAGCACATAGTTCACTCACACCAGTGAGCTTAATAGGTGATGAGCTTTCATGGGTCAGACCCACTTCTTGAGGAAGTAGGTCTGACCCACAAAAGCTCATCACCTATTAAACCATCTTGTTAGTCTTTAAAGTGCTACATAGTTTTTCCTTTTGTTTTAGCAAGATCAGACTAACATGGCTACCTCTCTATTACTATTCAACAGTGAGCTTGTTGCTGTTAGTGCTAGAGTTAAAATGGCAACTAAAATTCAGTGCTTAGTAATTGGCCTGGAGGTTTTGTCATTTTGTTTTTTTAAAGAGAGAACAGTACTCTCTGAGATGGTCAGAAAAGTGCCAGTAAAGCTTCGGAATTCTCTAATATAGGGCCAGTACATACTTAATGTAGCATGTTGAGCTTTCCTGGCCCTCTTGGTAGTATGGTTGTCAGAACCCAAAATGGCAACATCTCCTATAACAGCTGGCATCAAAGTGATTTCTTTAGAAGCTGTTAATGTCCTACCTCTTGAATGTATCTCTGTTAAGGAGTTTGCTGCAGTTTACTGGCAGGATGTGAGGATATGGAAAATATCCCTCTGACAAAATGTTCAATACTCAGATGTGGCTTGAGTTAAGTTGTTATCTTTCCTAGATTGTCTGCGTCCTCTCTTCTAGCATTGGTCCTGAATGCCAGAACAGTAACTGTTTTCCACGTGGAGGCCTTACAGTCCTGTCTTTCAGTCCCTGATCGTCAGCAGGGAGGCATTGTTTGTCTTTAACAATTATGCTGCACCCAGGCAGGATTAAGTTGCTGAAACTCCCATGGGAGTATGAATCACTGTGGTATGACACATTCAGCACTTCTCACGCTGCTGTCTCAAAAGCTGCTGCCTCAATGCAACTTGAATTCTACAAGCCCTAAAAATAAACCATAAGTGCGGATATTCTCTCACCATTAACACACATGCTGCAGAAATCAGAATAATTCGCCCTTCTGTCAGTGTTACTGCTGAGCTTCCCTAGAGTAGTGTTCTGTAGTGCCATTTGGAGCTCATCCAGGTGAGTTTCCTTGTGGATGTGCCATCTGAATCTTTGTCTTTTCAACCATGTGTTTGGGCTATCTTTCTCATTTCTCTCCTCCTCTTCTCAATCTGAGTTCTTTCTGTATTTGCTCCATTTAAGACTGACCTTTGATAGAAGCTGCAGAAAACCAATGCATCCTTTCATTTGTAGTTCCTGTTAAATTCTGAGGCTGACTGTTTTGCATAAAGATGCTTTCCTCTAGAGATGGCCCAGAGCTCCCTTCCTGAAGTAGCTGCAGCGCTGTACATTTTTTCAAGTGCCAATCACTGTGTCACATGACAAAACAAAGATACAATTTAGTTTCACTGGGTTTTTCTGGATCTCCTCATGCCTCTTTCTGGGCTTTACTAACTGAAGCATATCAGTACAACTAGCAGATGAATGTCCTTACAGACAAATGGAAGTTAATGGAAGGTGCAAGCTGAGTTGGCCATGGGTAGCAGGGTGTGAATTGGCTGCATTCACTGAAGCAACAGAACTTGTAGACTTGACAGTAGGTCAAGAAGTTGAAGCTGGACAAACTTAGATTGGAAATAATGAGTAAATTTTTATCAGTGAGGGTAATTAACCATTGGAACAATTTACCAAAAGTTATTGTGGATTCTCCATCACTGGCAATTTTTAAATAAAGACTAGATATTTTTCTAAAAATGATGCTTTAGGAATTTTTTCAGGGAAGTTGGTCTTTGTTATACATGAGGTCAGCCTGAAAGATCAGAATGGTCCCTTTTGGCCTTGGAATCTATAAAGAAATTAATTTATTCAGTATGTCATGGTTGCAAGAGAAGGCTGTCTTTCGACAGAGGGATATAAATTAGGCACTTCGAAATTGCAAATGAAGCCGGGATTTGAATTTCCTGAGCTTCGTTTGCATAATCATGTTATGGTTTACAGGATCTTTCAAAAAAGCTTTCCCTTTTCGAAAGAACTGTCTAGACTGTGGTTTTACTTTAGAAAGAGTGCTTTTTTGAAAGAGCGCCATAACATGATTATGCAAATGAAGCATGGGAAATTCAAATCCCAGCTTCATTTGTAATTTCAAAGTGCCTAATTTACATCCCTCTGTCGAGAAAGGGATGTAATCGAGACACAGCCGTAATGTTAGTCACCTAATCTCAAAACCAATAATAAAAAAGATCCTTGGAATTGAAGAAACCAAGAATTTAAAGCTGACTTGTACAGAAAGAGCAGGTTCCATATCAAGAGAAATAGAAAAGCTGAATTTGGAAAGGAGCCCAGCAAGAGGACTTGATAGTGAGCTCTAGTCAGGCATTATGATTTACCTGTCCCATAGTCCAAAATTGCTTTAATCTCCACTGTATAAGAGTAACCATCTTTAACTTGCTGTTGAAGGCTCCAGAAACATCTATTTTCAATATTACAGTGAAAAAACAGCTATGAAAGTATAGCATCTCTAAGTAGATCCTAGCTAGGTTAAAATGACAAGGATATATGGTCACGAGCTTCATGGCGTAAAGCATTGTTTTCTGTAAGTTGTGTGCTTGGGTATCCACCCAGGAAATATTCAAATGCTGTCCAGCTGATTAGCAGTGCCCACAGCTGAAATCATGTGTTTCTACTTGAGGTGCACATCCACACGTGCCTCAATGCCCATAACAAAATGTATTCTGTACATGGATGGAAAATGCTAGAGGAAACATTGGTGTAAAGTTGCAAAGTGAGGTCAAGGAGAACTACTTCTTTTTGCATATCTTCATCCCCATGCACATCCATAATAGGATTGCTCAGTTGAATTATCGTGGTAGCGTAGTAGGGGAAAGGATTGTTATCCATCTAGTTAGATAGTGATATGTTATAGCCAAAGTGGATGTCAAGTATTTTATGAACGAGTCAGCCACGTCCTCATTAGGTTGATAAGATTTGTCGTTAAAGTAGGTGTATGTAGTCTGTAAATATGTATTATGCCAAACAAAGAATATGCCTCTGTCCTGAAAAGGCTATATTTGCACCGGAGGGAACTAGCTAGGGATCCATCCGTTATCCACTACTAAAATTTAGCTGCCTCGGAGGTAGACTGGCTGTCTCTCTTCAACAGCAAATCTGTGTTACTCAACAGATGAACCATGGAAGTGTTCTTGTAGACTGCATTCCTAAGATAACTTTCTGGCTTTGTTAATTCTCCTGGTATCTTTGTCTTCCTCAGTTACGCTGTTATTGCCTACGGCTGTGCCAGCTGCCCCAAGTTGACTTGTGAGAGAGAAGGCTGCCAGACTGAGTTCTGCTATCACTGCAAACAGATATGGCATCCCAACCAAACCTGCGATATGGCCCGTCAGCAAAGGGCTCAGACGCTGCGGGTACGGACGAAGCACGCCTCAGGCCTCAGTTATGGACAGGAATCTGGAGCTGGTATGAATTAACAAGCTTCTCATTAGCCAGTATTAATTACATCTGTAAAGCCAGGAAAGAGCTCAGGCTGTTTTATAACACTTCCTGGAATCAAAGTGGGGTGTTAACTCTTGCCAGAGAGTACAACTATTTGGCACAGATGGACACCAGTAACATTGGATCTGGTCAGCTCTGATACACAGCACAGCTTCCCTTCTGAACCAGTAATGGTGTGGTCTGACATGCTGCTTACACAAACTACTAATAAAATTAAAATTTGAGGCTCCACAGTTGGAGGACCCAGTTGCATATGGTCACCTTATTCTGCATGTATTACCTCCTGACCCATTACACACAATAAGCAGCTACTTTTTGCTAAGAAATTTTACTCAGAATATGGATTTTGTTTTTTCTGTTGCTGTAAGTATTTAACCCAGAACAGGGAGTTTAGCTACCTGCTCTAAGTATTGGTAATACCATTATTTATCGGAGAGAGATTCTATACCACATGCTCTAGTGTTGGCTGGAGCTGCCCTCTTTAGTGCACTCTTTAATCAGAATATCTGCTGACTTACAGAGCTCTTTAAAAAATCAGCAATTCAGAAAATGAGCAATTAAGATCAGTTAATAGATTCCTTCTTTTCCTAGCATGCTACTCATTATAAACACATTGTTCCATTTGAACAATAGCTGGCTTCTATGTAAGATTATAAATATGTTAGATGTGGCTCAGCTGTTACTCCAGACTAAAATATGTCTGAAATGTACAGAGTCCTGATAACGGACAACATAAACACTATAACCACTGCAAGACACAATTTCCAACACAAACCAAAAAGCAATCTTTGATCTCTGCTTTCTGCCAAAGGGGATTCATGGAAACGAGGCCCTTAACAGAGCTTAACCATCAGCCCTGGGGAGATCAACTCCAGAGAGGTTCCCTCTGTCTAGTATAAATTGATCTCTGAGCAGCGGAGTCCCAGACTATTCAGGGCTTTAAAGATTGTGCAGTTCCTTATGTTGCTGGCAGGGAGCCATTGCATTACTTGGATCACAGATGACATTTTAGAATGACTTATTTTTTTTAAATGGATATAATGGGGCAGAAGCTGGTGGATGCCATTCCCTTTAAATGACTAAGTACCCACCTTCAGCCTCAGATCAGATATGTACTGTACCCACTAAGATTTGTGTCTGTAATCACAGACATAACTTACCCCTACAATGAGGAATGCACCTTCCGAAAACGTCTGTCACAATTTCTCTGCTGTCTTGTCCTCCAGATAGAAGACTATAGAGAACATTTTGGCCCTTACATCTTGTAAGTGGTAGAGTTTTAAAATGGTTGGAGATCTTGGCTGGCTAGAATGGCACAGGTGTACAATTCCTTTCATAATGGCTCCATTTTATGATATAGAAAACACTCTTTAAAATGCCATCCTACTTGGTGTACATTGACAAACAATGCTCACTTGTCTTAGTGGAATTAAGTGCCGTTACCCTTATCCTGTAGTACTGAAGGATGTAGTCAGAACCAGACTTCTTTGCTTTATCTCTTTATTATTCTCATTAATCAATCTGCTAGCCTAGATGGACAGAATTTGACATGTGTTGTGTTCCCGAGCCTGCCCTCCCCAAACAAGAACCCCATTACATTCCTGAAGATGGCTACAGTGTATAGCATCTGACTTGGTCCCTTCCTTCCTCCCCAAAGCCGATGACATTAAGCCATGTCCACGTTGCAGTGCTTACATTATCAAGATGAACGATGGGAGCTGTAATCACATGACTTGCGCAGTGTGTGGCTGTGAATTCTGCTGGCTGTGTATGAAGGAGATCTCAGATCTGCATTACCTCAGGTGAGATGTGAAGCAGAATCCTCTGGACCCTTTGTTGTGAGATGGTGATGATCACTAGGAGTAGGTGAAAATGGGCTTTTGTTGAAGCTGTGAGTTTCCTCCCAACAGTGCACAGTCTAGAGGGTGGTTGGCCTCCTCTGATGGAACAGTGCAAGGAAGTTCTTAATGGGATGAATATCAAGTGTGGTAATCCTCATCACATGGTGGGGTCATCCATTCTTGAGGGTCAGCTGGATTTGGGAGAAGAAGCCTTTCTTGCAGAGCATCCACCCAGTTCCCACAAGTCTTATTTTTATATGGATGTTGAAAAGAAAACTTATTTCCCCTACAGTCCCTCTGGATGCACGTTCTGGGGCAAGAAGCCATGGAGTCGCAAGAAGAAAATTCTCTGGCAGCTGGGCACATTGATTGGTGCCCCTGTTGGCATTTCCCTCATTGCTGGCATTGCCATTCCTGCCATGGTCATTGGCATCCCAGTGTACGTTGGGAGAAAGGTAAGCAAGGGGGCTTAAGATGAGAATTAATGGAATGAGCAGATGGAAACAGTCTCTGTTGGGAGTCCTAGGTGTTTTCCAAGGACTTTAAGTTAATGGTAAGAGTGGGATCTTCCCAGACAGCTGCCGGAAACCCAGCTGGCTCTTAGCCCAGCTGAAGATCACTGTTTCTTGCGTTTCATACTTGGTAAGTGTGGAAAGCCCTGGACACTGAAGTTCTCAGTCAAATGAGCAGGTGTCTCATGGACATTGACAGTGCACAGTTTGCATTGCTCTGCTAGTATGCCTCGGCCTTGAACTCCCTGTAGCGAGGGCAACTGTGTATCTAATTCTTGGCCTCTGTGATGGCTCTCGTGGCATGGGCTTGTCCAGTAATGACTGAACCCTGATCCCTCGCCGTGCTTCACACAAGTTACCAACCAGTTCTAATAGTAATGACTGCCTGTCAGTCCTAGATGTGTATCGCTGACCAGCTGTCTGAGGCTCCATGTTCCCTGAGTCTTCCAGTCCCTTTGCTGCCTCTGTTGCTGGATAGGCCTTAGGTAAAAATGGAAAAAGTTTCATGTGCAGCATTGTATCTTCAGCTTATCTTTACTCTTGAGCAGATGCACTCATTAGATCTGATTGGGAACGTCTTCTAGTTGTGAGGGAGGTACATAAGAATGGCCATGCTGGGTCAATAGTCCACATAGCCCAGTATCCTGTCTGTCAGTGGCCAATGCCCGATGCTTCAAAGGAAATGAACAGAGTAACAATTTTTAGTGATCTATCCCCTACTGTCCAGTCCCAGCATGTGGAAGTCAGGGACTTAGGAAACCCAGAGTGTGGAGATGCAGGACTGATCATTTTGGCTAATAGCCATTGATGAACCTATAATCAGTGGTGGTTATGGGTGTTTATATGTGACTGGTGTGTGTGGCAAAGCATATTAGTTTTTCATGCTAAAGGATGCTAAGTGGCCAGGCTGTCTGTTTCCTCACGTAGTGATTCTGCTCTTCCCAGATCCATAGCCGTTATGAGGGAAAGAAAACCTCTAAGCACAAGAGGAACTTGGCCATCACTGGCGGGGTCACCTTATCTGTCATTGCATCCCCAGTCATTGCTGCTGTGAGTGTTGGTAAGTAGACAAGGCTGGGTTTTTCCCCCTTGTGGTTAGTCATTCATAACTCTGCTCCTCATTCGTTGCTCTGCTACTGTGCTGACAGATATTAAGCAGGATCTGGCCAAAGGGTACCCACAAACTCCAGTATTATCCCTGTTGGATGCTTCCCCGCTCATCTAGCATGTTGCCTCCAGAGGCTGCCGATCCTGGTGCCTGTGGATCAAGACTGAGCACTGTGTATACCGCTCCCTTGTAGTGTTAGTACTAACAGTTCTCTCAGAGAAACTGGTTCATATGCAAGTTTGACCTGCTGGCAAGCCGCCACTGTAGCCTTCATGGAGTCAACTTGTTCTTTGGCCCTATCCTATGCCAAGACTGGATTGTTCCACTGCAGGTTTCCTAGGGCTTATAATGTAGCTCTATTTGGAAGTGGGTTCCCTTGTGCTGTAGTGTGATGGTCACAGCTGTTGTTTGTATTATGGTAACACCTAGGAACTCTGTCATGGACCATGACCCCATTGCGCTAGGCGCTGTGCAAACACAAAACAGGTGGCCCCTGCTACCAGAGAGTTCATGCTGCCTCCGTCTCACTGTCATCTGATATTCCTCTTGAATGTCCTCTGTTCCAGGTATTGGAGTCCCCATCATGCTGGCCTATGTCTATGGTGTTGTGCCAATTTCTCTCTGTCGAGGAGGTGGCTGTGGAGTCAGCACAGCCAACGGGAAGGGAGTGAAAATAGAGTTTGACGAAGATGATGGACCCATTACAGGTGATGAAGTAACCTTTGACTGTAGTCTGAAGGGCTGGGGGGAAGCAAGCAGGGCCTCACTGCAGGACAATCCCTTAGGATTAATTGGGATGGATAATCAGCCCTTTTCAGTATGTCGTGATTTCCAGCTTTCGTTTCTGTGCCATTGATTCGAGGCTAACCCTTCAGCATACACCCTACACTTGAACACAAAGTTTGTGGGAAGCACCAGAATGCCTTTCTTGGAAGATCTCCAGCCCTCTTCTCTCCTGGACAATGAATCTGAAATCTGTATTGAAAGTGATGCTATTTGACATGTGACCATATCCCCTTACTGGAGTCCAATGGCCGAGGGTTTTTTTTCATGGTTCACTGTGTCATCTTTGCCTGTTGCAGTGGCAGATGCTTGGCGAGCCCTGAAGAACCCCAGTATTGGTGAGAGCAGCATCGAGGGACTAACCAGTGTGTTGAGCACTAGTGGGAGCCCCACGGATGGGCTCAGTGTCATGCAGGGCAACTACAGCGAGACAGCCAGCTTTGCTGCCCTTTCAGGTGGTACCCTGAGCGGCGGAGTCCTCTCCGGGGGAAAAGGAAAGTACAGCAGGTAAGTGAACTGACCCAATTCATGGCAACACAAGGGCTGAAGGGTCACAAGGCCTGGTCTGGAGTGAGGAACACGGAGGCTTGTTAGCTTGCCAGGGATCTGTTCTTCTTGGTGGGTGGTATCATTGATATTTGGGATCTAATCAGGTCCAAAAAACTAGGCTTCAGCTGTTACTCAGCTTTGTCCCTGTTGCAAGAACACCAAGTAAATAGCAGGCACAACACAATCTAGTTTGGTTTGGTTATCTTTCTGCTCCTCCTTCAGCTTTTCTAGCCTCTTAATGGCAAGAAATAGGATTTGGGGTTGATTTTAGAAGCAGCAGAAATGGAAGTGCATCAGATGTGTACCAGTTTGCCACATAAGGCTCTTGCAATCATCTTGCTGATCTAGCCTAGTGCTTCAAAAGTCTGTTGTTTCCTAATAGCACTCAGTGAACGGGAAAACCTGCCTCCAGTTATAAGGTTACGCCCCAGTTTTCCTCTGAACCTGCCTCTGAGTCATTCTGGCCATGTAAATGGAGACACGCATCAAAATTATAGTCCAGAATATAATCATAGCTGTGTGCTGGATCTGGAAATCTGCCTTGCACAGGAACTGTGTGAGTCATGGATATAAACAACGTACTTTGATATGGAAAACAGACCAAGGAAAGGGCTCAGCCAAATGGAGCCACAGAGGAGGCTAACTTAAAAGGTTCATCTGATTTTAAACTACTTGGTACAGACCTGGATTAGTACAGAAGGTCACTTGTCCCACCAGCTCTCACTTACTAAATGACTATTCCTGCAGTTTTAAGAAACAAGCCAAGCTGTTCTGTGGCCCCTGCTGTGGTGTTGATTCTGGATGTTTCCCACTTCTTCCCAGGCTGGAAGTGCAAGCAGATGTGCAGAAGGAGATTTTCCCTAAGGACTCCGTCAGTCTTGGAGCAGTGAGTGACAACGCCAGCACTCGGGCTATGGCTGGTTCCATCATCAGTTCGTACAACCCACAGGACAGGTATATATGCTGCCACTGCACAAGAGTGTGGCTCAACTGGTGTGCTGGTGGGAGGCTGTGGAGAATGCACATTGGAGTTTAATGATGGAAACTGTATGCTGATTCTTTTAGCTCAGGAAGCTTTCTTCCTCCACCTGCCTTTGCAACTGTATGTGTAGTTCAGTCTCATGCATCACCACTAGGTGATGAGATCCCCGGGACAGCTTGCTCACTCCAGTTCTTCTGTCCTGCAAACTCAGCAGAGAATCTCTCTTTCTAGCAAAGCAGCATTTGTGACTCTGTGCCCCTCTCGCTTGGAACTCTCTGGATCGGGGTGAGGAACCTTTTATGGGTTGGGGGACGCTGACCCATAGAAAAATCAATCGGGGGACCACACGTGAGAAGCAAAAAAAACCCCAAACCCTCACTGACATGACCCCTAACTGAGAAGGAGAAAGACCCACGTTCCACTCACACCAGAGCCTACGGGGCCCAGGCTAATAGATTTTGTGTGCGGGGAGATGGCAAGGGGGCTCAAGAGCTAGCACAGGCTCCCCCAAATGCTGAGGGAAACCCTGAACCTCGGGCTGGTTCCAGGCAAGCCAGGGCTGCAGCCGGCCCCTGGCCTTAGGTTGCCCATCCCTGCTCTAGTTGGACAATTGTACCATATGCATGGTGTTCAGAACTGCACCATCTCTGCAGGTAGAATCATAGAATCATAGAATAATAGGACTGGAAGGGACCTCGAGAGGTCATCGAGTCCAGCCCCCCGCCCTCAAGGCAGGACCAAGCTCCGTCTACACCATCCCTGACAGATGTCTATCTAACCTGTTCTTAAATATCTCCAGAGAGGGAGATTCCACCACCTCCCTTGGCAATTTATTCCAATATTTGACCACCCTGACAGTTAGGAATGTTTTCCTAATGTCCAATCTAAACCTCCCCTGCTGCACTTTAAGCCCATTACTCCATGTCCTGTCCTCAGAAACCAAGAGGAACAAATTTTCTCCTTCCTCCTTGTGACACCCTTTTAGATATTTGAAAACCGCTATCATGTCCCCCCTTAATCTTCTTTTTTCCAAACTAAACAAGCCCAGTTCATGAAGCCTGGCTTCATAGGCTTCTCTAGACCTTTAATCATTCTTGTCACTCTTCTCTGTACCCTTTCCAATTTCTCCACATCTTTCTTGAAATGTGGCGCCCAGAACTGGACACAGTACTCCAGCTGAGGCCTAACTAGTGCAGAATAGAGCGGCAGAATGACTTCACGAGTTTTGCTTACAACACACCTGTTGATACAACCTAGAATCATATTTGCTTTTTTGGCAACAGCATCACACTGTTGACTCATATTCAACTTGTGGTCCACTATGACCCCTAGATCCCTTTCCGCCATGCTCCTTCCTAGACAGTCGCTTCCCATCTTGTATGTATGGAACTGATTGTTCCTTCCTAAGTGGAGCACTCTGCATTTCTCCTTATTAAACCTCATCCTGTTTACCTCCGACCATTTCTCTAACTTGCTAAGGTCATTTTGAATTATGTCCCTATCCTCCAAAGAAGTTGCAACCCCACCCAGTTTGGTATCATCTGCAAACTTAATAAGAGTACTCTCTATCCCAATATCTACATCATTGATGAAGATATTGAACAGTACGGGTCCCAAAACAGACCCTTGAGGAACTCCACTTGTTATCCCTTTCCAGCAGGATTTAGAACCGTTAACAACAACTCTCTGACTACGGTTATCCAGCCAATTATGCACCCACCTTATCGTGGCCCTATCTAAGTTATATTTGCCTAGTTTATCAATAAGAATATCATGCGAGACCGTATCAAATGCCTTACTAAAGTCTAGGTATATGACATCCACCGCTTCTCCCTTATCCACAAGGCTCGTTATCTTATCAAAGAAAGCTATCAGATTAGTTTGGCATGACTTGTTCTTCACAAACCCATGCTGGCTATTCCCTATCACTTTATTACCTTCCAAGTGTTTGCATATGATTTCCTTAATTACCTGCTCCATTATCTTCCCTGGGACAGACGTTAAACTGACCGGTCTATAATTTCCTGGGTTGTTCTTATTCCCCTTTTTATAGATGGGCACAATATTTGCCCTTTTCCAGTCTTCTGGAATCTCCCCTGTCTGCCATGATTTTTCAAAGATCATAGCTAAAGGCTCAGATACCTCCTCTATCAGCTCCTTGAGTATCCTGGGATGCATTTCATCAGGACCTGGTGACTTGCTGACATCTAACTTTCCTAAGTGATTTTTAACTTGTTCTTTGTGTATCCTATCTTCTAAACTTACCCTCTCTCTGCTTGTATTCACTACGTTAGGCACACCTCCAGACTTCTCGGTGAAGACCGAAACAAAGAAGTCATTGAGCATCTCCGCCATTTCCAAGTTCCCTGTTACTGCTTCTCCCTCCTCACTAAGCAGTGGGCCTACCCTGTCCTTGGTCTTCCTCTTGCTTTTAATGTATTTATAAAAGGTCTTCTTGTTTCCCTTTATGCCTGTAGCTAGTTTGATCTCATTTTGTGCCTTTGCCTTTCTAATCTTGCCCCTGCATTCCCGTGTTGCTTGCCTATATTCATCCTTTGTTAGTTGTCCTAGTTTCCATTTTTTATATGACTCCTTTTTTATTTTGAGATCATGCAAGATCTCCTTGTTAAGCCAAGCTGGTCTTTTGCCATATTTTCTAAGGTAGCTTCAGTAGGTCCTCCCATTATAGGGCATGATTTAAGGGTTGGTAATTGAAAACAGTGGGACCCATACATGTGGAAACCCACTAAACATGCATGGGTTCCAGAGTCTGGCTAAGTGTGCTTATTAATACGATGTATCGTTGGACAGTAACCCGTCAAACCAGTTGGTCACAGCCCTGCCTTGCTAAGCAGTCCTCTGTCTGGAGTTGTTGGTGTGTCACATCTTTCTTGAAATTATGACATACTTCCTCTAGCAAGGTCTCACCGGAAGGGAACATTTCCTTGGCTTAGTCTTGCACAGAACAAAGATTTGGGACTGTTGGAAGCAAACTGTGTTCACTAGAAGTTAGTGGTAGAAATGTAACCATGTTAGTCTGGTGCAGCTGAAACAAAAAACAGGACTGTGTAGCACTTTAAAGACTAACAAGATGGTTTTATTAGGTGATGAGCTTTCATGGGCCAGACCCACTTCCTCAGATCATATTCTGGAAGATAATTGACATGACCATATATACCAAAGGAATACAATGAAAAAAAGTGAACACATTATTAAACTGACAATTCAGATTTAGTACAGAAGGTGGGGTGAGGGAGAGGATGAGAGGAAATAGCTACTTGAGTTAAGAAGTTAGTGATAGGCATTTGGATCCAGGACTCGGGCTGTTTCTAGTTGTGCCACAGAATCTGCCTCTGTTTCTCTAATCACAAAAGGGGGATAATCTTAGGAGAGTTAATTATTGTAGCATTGCCTGTCCTGTCAGCATGGTGCGTGCGGTGAATGGCGTTCCCATATGTGCCTGTCATGAAGCTTGCTGTTGAGTGAGAACTCAAGGTAACTTGCTAAGCTGAATAACCCAAGACTTCTGCTGTAGCTGGTCACTGACCAAAATGATGCTTGTTTCCACAGAGAGTGCAATAACATGGAGATCCAAGTGGACATAGAGGCCAAACCGAGTCACTACCAACTCGTTAGTGGCAGCAGCACAGAGGACTCGCTCCATGTCCATGCCCAGATGGCAGAAAACGAGGAGGAGGAGCAGGAGCAGACATGCAAACACCAAAGCTGTGAGCGGAAGGACTGCATTGCCAGCAAAACCTGGGACATCACCCTGGCACAGCCTGAGAGCATACGGAGTGACCTGGAGAGCTCCGACAGCCAGTCGGATGATGTGCCCGACATTACCTCGGACGAGTATGATTCCCCCCACCCGCAGACTGTAGCCTGCCCACAGACCCCAAAAGCCAGAGGTGCTGAGAGCCCAAGTGCCCATCTGAGCCAGTGTGCCCGTGAAGAAGGGCACAGGCCAGAGGAAACAGTCTCTAAACTGGAGTGCATTGAAGCCAGAGTATGAAGTTGCCTTCCAGAGAAGCATGCTTATTGTCACTGCATCCTTGGGGGCTGAGAGTGTCCTTTGTTGGCTTCTGTTTCTGATTCTGCCAGCTTCCCCGGTCTGGCCGAGGGGCAAAATGCCATTTCTTACGATAAAAAGAAAAATCCCCTGCCCTCTCATTTTTAATTTATTGGTTCAAGCGCTCTGAGAGGTGTCTGAGTGTACATATGTATGTGTGCGTGTATACTGTGAGTCTGCAAAAATACTGCTGCGGAATTGTTTTAATAAAGATTTCTGTTGTAATTCAACTTGCCTCCATTTCTTCCTTGTCAGAGATTTAAAGAAGGGGACAAACCTGTGCTCAGTGACTCTCTTCACTTGTTTCTTTGCTCCTCTGTTGGTGCTAGTGGTGGAATTAGCACAGTAGCTGCAGACTTCTGTGCAAGCAGGTGTAATTATAGTTCAGATGTTGGGTGTGAAACTGGGTCGTGGTAGGGAGGCACTATTTTCCATCAGTGTGTTATTCCTGTGTCACTGAGAAATCTGGGCAAGGCAGGGTGGGGGGAAGGTTGCTGTGTATTGTCTGCCCTCTAGAGGCCACTGTCTGACTTCTGAAATTGCTACATTAGTGTAATTCTAGAGGGGACTTCTAAGCCAGCCTGTTATGCGCTGTACCCCGATGAATACTACTATGTCCATGGAGGCTATGGAGTGAAGAATAGGGCTGCACTAGACAGGAGAAGCCCTTTGGAGGTAAACAGTCTCCAGCAAGCTGTGAAGGAATCAAAATGAGATGTAGAACAATTCCATGTTCCATTACAAAGCCGTGATGGCTCCTGCAACTTCCTATCCAGCTTTTTGGCACTTACCTGCTAGTATTGCAGACTTCTAACGCAGGTTTACACGTTCAAGCCTTCTCCAGCACCATCTTCTCTCTTCTCCCCCCTCAGCTGGCCAAGCAGCTACTGTTCAATGCATTTGTAAATATAAGGTGCCATTTAGTCAATGGAGGATGGTGAGGAACTAGCCGAATGCTCTCCTAGCTGAGCTTTACCGTGAGCGAAGGTGGCTTGCTACCGTCACTGAGAATGGACCTGTTTTCCTCTCCCAGTGTGTGGAGTGAGCTGCAGAGCCAGGAGCGATGGTCATTAATGGAAGGTTAAGGTAAGGTTTTGATGCTGTTATTTTGGAGGGGACAGTATGGAAAGAGTGCACCCTCCCCCCACCACTTCACTGTGGTACAAAATACAGCTGGCTAAACGACCCATTAGGCAGCCAATGTGTTACAAACCAAGAGGAATATTTCACCATTTTCCCACCTTGAGGATGAGTAGCTACCTAAAGAAGAGAAAGAGACTGATCGAGGGACCAGGATTTTGATAAGGAATGAAATTGCAGCTCTGAGGCTGACTCACCCTCCCCCCACCACTTCACTGTGGTACAAAATACAGCTGGCTAAACGACCCATTAGGCAGCCAATGTGTTACAAACCAAGAGGAATATTTCACCATTTTCCCACCTTGAGGATGAGTAGCTACCTAAAGAAGAGAAAGAGACTGATCGAGGGACCAGGATTTTGATAAGGAATGAAATTGCAGCTCTGAGGCTGACTCATGTTAGCAGCATACCAGCGATAGGCGGAGGAGAAATGGGGCGCGGTGAAGCAAATACTGTATATAATACTCCAGCGCCCCCTACCAGGGAGCGCTGCAAATTGCAGTAGTGACTGCCAACAGCAATAGATGAAAGGGAATGATAAAGTTGGGAGTGAGGATTACAAAACCCTTACACGAGCAATATAGAAAACATGATGGGATGTGCCCATACTGTGTTCAGCTGAGGAAACTTTTCATATCTTCATTTAGTCACAACTAGCTCACAGTTGTATTCAGATCTACACAGTAGCCTGTGTTCATGATCTTTGCGGAAAGTCGCTTCTAGTTAGGATTGTTGAATGTAGCTTGGCAGCCACAACTGGAGAGGCACAGAGTTGCTGGCAAACACTGTGACCAAGAGAGCAGGTAGCAGGGTTTAGAGGATGGGTGGGGATTCCCGGGATTAGAAAGTAGATTGCAAACCTTGAGTTGGATTAAGACTGTGTAGGCTGGTAAGGCTCCGCTTCCCATGCAGTGCAAACAGTCTGCAGCATGTCTTGCATCCCTGAAGGACCTGTCTGGAGAAGGGGAAGCCATGTGAGACCTGCAAATGCAGATCTAGGAACTAGGTAAGGCAGCATCGGGGATGTGAGGAGTAACTGCACAATAGCCTAGAGTTGAGAGTAAAAGGGGGGATGTGGGGGGCATGGATTACACCAAGCCTTGTAGCCCAAGTGCACAGTGGGCAACTGCTAGTGAAGAAAAGACATGAGGAGCACTTTGGTCATGAGTTTGCTCCCGGAAACAAGGTGTGTGCCTACCCTCTTCCCGGCTCTCCCTTTGTCAGCTGGCTAGGTAGAGCTTGGGTTTTGTTGGCACAGAAGCAACCTCTGTTGGAAAGTCTTCTCCTGTCAGCATGGAGGGGTGGTGTCCTTCACCTCAATGCACATCTCCTTTGCTATTTCCACACCCCTCGCCCAGGAGACCATACAGTGCCAGGTGACTGCCTGGTAAGGAAAGGAGGTCTCTGTTAGGCAACTCAAGCACCCCTAATAAGGAGAGACCGAACAAAGCCGTACACGGGGCACAAAGCAAGGCAAGCAGTAATGAGACATCCCAGACGAAGGAAAGAGTACACAGTGGGGCCTGGGCAGTCACTGCAGTGGAGTAGGAGAGAGGCTGTACAAATAAAATAAGGGAACAGTCCCTAATGATTGAGTAGGGCAAGAAGTGGGCAGGGAACGTAGGCCCGCAAGGAGAAATTAACCACGTCTGTCTGGCTCCATGGTGGCACCTGTCTAGGTCTGTCGCTGGGTTATGCCACTTCAAAGGATTCAGCTACCTCCTGAGTTCTTTCATTCACAGCTTGGCTGTGGGTTCTAAGGTGTGGAGAATACATGGGAGAGAAAATCCTGGTCTCATGAAGCCAATGGGAGTTGTAGATTTAGGCGGCTATGGGTGAAGTCTTGGCCCTGCATTTGGAGACTTGCTTTCTGATGTTTCTCCCCATGAGTTCTGATTGGGATTGTTCTCTGCACTGTTTGAATGCTAGATCTCTCTGATGAGCACGCACACACGTGTTGTCACGTCTAAGCCCTGAGAGATGGCAGACACCGTAGGCCTTTGAGTAGGAAGGTTGTGCTGTGAAACAAGCGTGTGCAGGCTCTCTTGAGCGCTGGACTCGCTAAGGGCTGTCCTCGCCATCTGCAAGGGTGGAAGGAGAAATCCACAGAATATTAGCAGGAAAACAGCTTAAAATTGAGTGAGCGGAGTCACCTAAAATGTCTGGGTACATCAACCCCACCTGGCTGCCTTGCAGTTTGGGGATGTGACCATGAAACATACAATCCGGCCCACCCAGCTTTCCTCCACAAGAGGCATAGTGTGAAATGTGCTGTGAATACCCAGCACTGAATCTCTGCAGCAGCCCTGGCTGATGGACGGGAGTGCTGGTGATATAATTGATGGTGGGATTGAGCGTGGTTAAGGCTCGTTCAGCTCTAGCAGGTTTTCTGTGCTCCGAGTGCAAAAGGAAGGCTTGAGAGCCGCAGTCCTAAGCCCCCAGGGAGGACTGAGATGAATCCTTTCTCATCTCAGGGAAACCATGGTAGAGCCCTCGTAGCAACGCTGTTGCTAGCATGACTTCAGCTGTAATAGGGATGGGGGAGCCTTAAAGCCAGCACTCCTTGAGGAATGTTGAGTGATTGAGGACAGCCTGCTGCAAATCAGTGGAGAGACTGGCCAGCGTTGCTGGGACAGGCACTCACATGGCATGGTGCCCTATGTAGATAGAACTACCACCCTGGCATAGGGTTTGGAGGGTTACTCCCTCCGAGATGGAGAAGTCAGCAGGGTGGCTGGATCTCCCTCCTCCCCATCCCCAAGCAAAAAGACCATGTAGTCTTGGAGATCTACAGCTGAATGTAGGTGGGAGGCAAATGCCCCTTGTAAGGAATGACTTGCCTTGGCATAAACCCCCTAAGCAGCGGCTTCTGTTCTGACTTTACTCACGGGGGGACCAGCTCCCTCGCCCCAGTGTCCTGTTGCGCTGTAGACTGCCCCAAGGAATCCTGAGCCCAGGATCACAAGGGAGGCATGTGGTGTCTGGCCCGTGTGCGTGGGAGAGGCCTACCTTCCATAGCTAAGCACAGTAGCCAGGAGATGGGAGCTGTGGTGGGTGGGGTTTGAGCTCTGAATCACCTTTCCAGGGCAGGGGAAAGGTGGAGTTGAGCTCTTTGTTCTGGCCGGGGGAGCTAGTCAAACAGGAAGAGCAGATTGAAAATAGCTGCGGGAGGGGCTCTGCGCGGAAAGAGAGCACAGGGCAGGCGCTGGGAGTGCCAGGAGCTGGCCTGCCCCTGGGCTCCCCGGGATGCAAACAGACTCCGTAACCCACATTCTCTCTGAAGCAACAATGGCCTGATCCAGGAGCTGCCAAGATGTGTCGACTGGGTGAGTTTGCTTCCACTCCCCCCTGCTCCCGCCACCCCAGTGCAAGGGAGGGGGAGGGATTTCACACCCTTGTCCTGCCGGGTGGGCTGGTTTGCAGGGGGGCGGGCAGCGGCGGGCTGGAAACTGGTGGGGCTGATTTGCATAGGGTGATATTTGGTTTCGTTGGCCTGATCCAGGAGCTGCCAAGATGTGTCGACTGGGTGAGTTTGCTTCCACTCCCCCCTGCTCCCGCCACCCCAGTGCAAGGGAGGGGGAGGGATTTCACACCCTTGTCCTGCCGGGTGGGCTGGTTTGCAGGGGGGCGGGCAGCGGCGGGCTGGAAACTGGTGGGGCTGATTTGCATAGGGTGATATTTGGTTTCGTTCTCAAAGGATCCTGGGGGGGGAGCCAGGTGACTGCAGGGATGAGGCCGGGGGATGGTCTAGCCTGGGACAAAGCTCAGATCTTGTCCAGGTCACAGGGCTGTGGTGCGTGCCCAGGCTCTGCCTGCAGGATTCCAGGGGAAGCCCTCTGAGCCGGTCACCGGAGGCCACAAGGTGGCGCTTCTTGCTTCTCCGGCCCCTTCTCCCCAGGGCTCCAGAAGTTTGGCACTTGCCTCTTCAGTCTACAGATGGGGACGAGCTAAGGGACTTGCCCAAGGCCCCCAGGTCTCTGACTGTGCTGGAAATAGAAGCAAAGTTTCCCAAATCCCACCTCTGTGAGCTCAGAAAGCAGAGCTCCCGTCCGCACTGAAGTGTTGCACAAGGGAGGGCCGGAGGAACAGGGGTAAGAAAGCCCTGCCCCAAAGAGCAGCTCCTGGGATTATGGCAGGCCTGGGAACCCTCTGGCACACACCCTTTCCGGCTGGGAGGGGGTGGTGATGCCCTGCCACTGGCTGGTTAACGTGTGGTTAATCTTTAAAGAAATCTGTTTGTTTTGTAGAAAGCATCTGAAAAGACCATTTCCTTGTCCCTCTCTGTCTCGCTCACTCTGGGGCCCCAGAGCCACCTGCCAGAGCTCTCTGGAGACATCGGGGTCTCTGGTCAGGGAGCTGGGGAGGGCCTGCTCTAGCCAGTGCTGCTCCCCGCTCCAAGGGCAGAGTGGAGCCCCGGGGACCTGAGCTCCCCCAACAGCCCGTCCCGCTGGGAGAGACAGGGAATGGAGTCGGAGAGGCCTCAGCGCTCCAACAGATAAGGAGCCCCGAGGTGGAGGGAGGTTTGGCAGAGTTTAGCCTGAGTACAGCTCTGCTCCTCTCTTGTTGCTTCTCGGGGGCCCCTCTGGCAGCCTTTCTAGGCAGTGCAGGTGCTCTGTGCCTTGGGGCTGCACTGAGCCCCACACAGCCTTGCTTTCTTCCCTCCATCCCCCCCTTCTCTTCAATGAACGATGCCCTCTGGTGTCGCTCGGCTCCAGGACCTGAGCCCAGTCGGAAGCTCTCGCTTGTCTCAGAATGCGGCGCCGCTCGCCCGGGCGCTAGTTGGGTATGTCACTGCCGTGGGCACAGGTCCCAGCCCTCAGACTCCTCTGGCAGGTCCTGTCTGTGCTGCCCAGCTGTGCCCTGCCACCCACGGGCGAGTTCTCTGGGACAGTCTCCTCCAGCTGCCCCAGAGTCCCGGAGAGGATTTCTGCAAGGGCCTGAAACTATAGCGCTTCTTGTGGCCTCTGCCTGCCTCCGTGCCACCTCTGTCCCTGGCAGCGCTAGGTCAGCTGGGCTGCGAGGTCCTCGGGGCAGGGCCCGGCGTGGCTGCGTTCTGTGTGGGCCCGTCATGGGGCTGCGTGGACCTACCGGGAGCTGCAGCAGCCTGAGCCCCTCCCTTCTCTCCGGCACAGACACCCTCGATCCCAGCGGCTACCAAAAGCTCCTGATGAAGACAGGGCTCATCCTGATTGTGATCGGCCACCTCAGTTTCATCTCCGGCGCCCTCGTCCACGGGACTGTGTTGCGCTACGTGGCCAACCCGCAGGACGTGATTTCCCTGCAGTACGCCATCTCCAACATCGTCTCGGTGACCTCGGCGCTCCTGGTACGGCTCCTCTGGCGCGTGAGCTGCGACGTTCGGGCAGGGGGAGGCTAGGGGGCGGAGTGGGTAATGGGGGCAGAGGAGGCTTGTTAGGAGGGAGGGGAGTGGATGGCCCATAAGATGCAGTTTAGGGCACTGGTGGGCAACCTGCAGCCCATCGGGGTTCTATGCGCGGCCCACGAGGCTTTTTTTGCCCACGTGCAGGGTTACCAGTTCCACCGGTTTCCATATATGTAGGTTTTTTCCTACTGGTATCACTAAAGTGACCCGCCCGTAAAGCCAGGGCCCGTGAAGGGAGCTGGGTGTGGATTGCACCCAGCGCTGTGAGCACCGGGGGCTCCCTCCACAGCCAATCCCAGCGCCGCTACGGTGCAATCGGCATCCCCCCTAAATTCGAGGTGCGCAGGTGCAGTGAGCAAAACGATCCTGTCCTGGGAGACCGTCTTGGTGACAATCTCGCAGCCCACTGGGATGATGGAGGGCCACTGGTGTGGCCCCCTCGGTGGGTTTAGGGTCAGGCAGGGAATATAGTAGGTTAAAGCTGGGGACAGGGAAACCCCCATCTTTTCCCAGGCTGCAGGCGTTTGGGAAGCCCCTGGCTGAAGCAGAGGCCGACTGATGGGAGACCCTTCTGGGACCAGCGGAGCGTGCGTGTAAAGACGGCTCTTCCCTTAACACTGAGCCTGCTTTTGGGTGGGGGTTAACGCCTCCCCCTAAGGGGAGCAGCAGCCATTGCTTGGCTGCCTCCCAGGGCTGACCAAGTTACTCAGGAGGGGCTGTCCGGGGGGAAGGCAGTTGGCTTTAAGTGCCCGACTCGGCTGAGCCTGGCCCCTGCATGGCCAGAGATCCCGCTCCCACCTTCAGTGTATTGCTGCTCTTTATGGAAACCAGATCCGGCCTCTGATCTTGAATCAGAAAACCCTCCGCTCCGCTGCCACATCCAGGCCTGAGCGCTCGGGTCTCTTCCCTCCCTGCGGGTCCCCAGCCTGACACCCGAAGCCTGATCCTAGGCAGATGGCTATTTGGGATAGGGACTGTCTGTGCAGTCTCTCCTTGCCAGGGGGTTCCTCGCGCACCCTCCGCACGCTCTTAAACTGACCTCGGCCGCTGTCAAGCCAGCACCAGCCAGGCGGATTGGTAACCCTCGTGATGTGGATGATACCAGGCCCTTGCAGAACGGTCGGTGTTGTGCTTCCCTCCATAATGAGGGGTGGGAGAGACTCCCCGGAGCCAGGTTGCCCCAGGCAAGATGCAGCCCCTGTTGCGAGCCAGCCCGTCGGAAGGGCTCACGGAGCCGCGTCGAACTCTAACTGCTAGAGCACACTCTGGCCGCTGAAGCTCATGGTGACGCAGCAGGGAGAATCGATGGCTCCTTTTGCTTTTAATAACATCGGCATTTAAACGGTCCCAGCGGGCCCTGCGAGCTGGCACCTTACTGTGGTGAATGCCGATGCGATGGTTCTCCTGGAGGCTGGCTGTTAAGGGTGGCTGTGAATGGATTTCTGTAGGGGTGAGCAGGAGAGGGCCAGGAGTAAGGCAGAAGGTGGGACAGGCGTAAAGCAGGGTGGAAAATCCCCTCCTCGTGTTACAGCAGTGGGTCTGGGATACCGGGGGGGGGGGGAAGAGGAGGCACGAGGCCAGTGAAGCAGACGGTAGGGCAGTGGGGGGAAGGCAGGCAAACCACGGAGCTTGCTGGGACCGCAGAGCCTGGGCGGCGGCCTCTCCGTGAGGTTGAGGTGTGGAGCTGGAGGCTTGTCACCCTGGTGGCAGGGGGCTGCTCAGTCCTGTTCAGAGCCACACGGTCTCCACTCTGCCCTGCCTCAGGAGGACATGGCCCTTGCTGGTGTGTTGGCCCTCAGCTGGGGCAAGCTGCAACAAGACTTGGAACGGACACGGGAAGCTAGTGTGGAAAAGGCGGAACCAGGCGTGAGAGCACCTCCTAGTGCAAGGGACCAGGCCCCAGGGCGCCCCCTAGTGCAAGGGACCAGGCCTCTGCGCTAAGGACCAGGCCCCAGGGCGCCCCCTAGTGCAAGGGACCAGGCCTCTGCGCTAAGGACCAGGCCCCAGGGCGCCCCCTAGTGCAAGGGACCAGGCCTCTGCGCTAAGGACCAGGCCCCAGGGCGCCCCCTAGTGCAAGGGACCAGGCCTCTGCGCTAAGGACCAGGCCCCAGGGCGCCCCCTAGTGCAAGGGACCAGCCCTCTGTGCTCAGGACCAGCCCCAAGGACGCGACCGA